AAAAGAACATTTCTAAAAATTGAAAGCAATATGAAACAAATAAACCTAACACTGAATTGAGTAGGTAGCATTATGAGCTGTTTTGACTCAAAAGCATGGTAATTTGACTATGTAGCTCTAGTAGAAATACTAAAAGAACTGCAGAAATAATTTTAAACTATTTTCAATATTGTGGTGTGAATGTTGGTATTGTTACTGAGAAATTATGAGTATTATGGCACAAAGCAAGTGAATAACTCTGTTACTGTCATGAGAACTGGGAATTTTAGTATAGTTTAGTACATTGGTCAGTATATTGCTGACCAAAGACAGGGAAAAAATCTGAGCAATAATAGTAATAACTATCATGGATTTTAAACACATAAAATATGTTTAAATCCATGAGTTTATAATGACTCTCAAACACCTCATGGGGTCACCTCTGGAGGATGCTAGGAAAATAAGCTTATTAGGTTGCACTTGATGAAGGCAATTCTCCTGTTTTTTCTATGCACTTCGAGGTAACCAAGTAGTTAATGAAGGAGTGTTTATTTTTATGGAAGTATTCTAGCTAATAAAGACAGGAAGAATGATAGAATTCAAATACCACCATTCTGTAACCTCCAATGAAATAATGAATCTAGGTAATGATCAATGCCTAGCAACACCACAAAAGACAACCAGCAATGAAGGGCCTACTGATTGAAATGTACCACATATCACGGTCTATAAAGAAGTGTACTTGCTAAAAAAGTATTTGTACGTACATCTCAAACCTGAAGGACATCAAACCTCTAGACCTAACTACCAATCTACAGGAAATATAGGGTACAGAAAAGTATTTTAAGTGACAACAAAATCCAAATTGTGGGAAATTGTATAGAACAGATGACCCAGTTTTTCAACAAATAAACTGCAAAGGAAATAAAGAGACACAGAGAGAAAACATCAACAGGAACATATAAATTACAGATAATTCATGAACCTAATTGGAACAAACAGTAAATCAATAAAAACATCTGAATATGTTCTGTACCTATATATACATATATGCACATACTGTGTATATGCGGGTTTATCTCTATATGTTTATGTGTACATATGTATGCACTTACATATTTTATTTATGAGAGAGAGAGAGAGACAGTGAGAGAGAGAGCAGAAGAGAGAGAGCATGAGCGGGGAAGGGAGGGAGGGGCAGAGGGAGAAGGAGAAGCAGACTCCCCGCTGAGCATGGGGCTCGATCCTAGGACCCCCGGGATCATGACCTGAGCCGAAGGCAGACAATCAACTGACTGAGCCACCCAGGCGCCCCTATGTGTCCACAATTTGAGGTATGGTGAACGGAGGGATTGAGTGGCAGGGAGTTGAGATTAGTTTAAATTGGGCAAGGGGTACCTAGGCACTCACTGTAACTAATCTTACTTCTATGTAAGACTAAAATTTTCCACAATAAAGTTAAAAAGTATATGCACAAAAATGACAAAAAACTATGTAGCTAATATTAACAAGGTGGTTATAGAACAGTATCAGACCAAGACATTCCAACTTAGGAGTGCACTGTGATCATCTGAAGAGCTTTTTTACAATATAAGCTTGGAACTACCACTACATCACCAAACCTCGAAGACTGAAGGAACTGTGTCAAATCCCTCAAAGACTGCAGACCACTGTTCAAACCCAGTAAAGTGGGGGCTGCACATTATTCACCCACTTTTTATCTCCATGCCGGACACATTAGAGGTACTCAAAAAATATTTGGTGAATTAATGACTAACCCTGGGTAGTGAAAATGAACAGGCAAGCTTAGAGCAGCTAAATGCTAAATATGCAAAAAAATTCATATTTGATATTATAAAAATGCACTTAGGTTACTGAGTTTAGAGAGCATGGCTTTCTGTTTTAAGTGGAATGGGTTTTTATCATAAAGCCACAGACTAGTCACTTCAAACAGCTGTAGTGTTTGTTTCAAACAGCTACAAGTAAACTCCCAGAATAAAAATATTTTTAAATACACAATTGGGTGGGGTGTGGCTAGCAAATATTCTGATTCTACAATCTGTTTTGGACAAGACAGTGCTTCTTATGTGACTAACAAAGCAAACAGCAGTCAGATTCCCTGTGCTGAAATAAGTATACTATTTGCAAAAAGGGTTGAATGTCCAAGCCTTATCCAATAAAGACACCACATTTTCCAAAGTTAAAGGGGAATATAGGTCGACAAATACCCACATGTATTTACACATCCCCAAAAGAAGGCATATGACCAGCTGGTATGGACTTTGTTTCTAATAAGTACTAAACAGAGCCAAGCCCACTGTCTCACCATGGGGAACAGCAAAATATCTCAGACACAAGAACTCTAATTTTAAAGCTGGGAGGAGCTTTGAAACCTAGCCCAACCTTTTCACTGTGTAACAGACACCTAGAGAGTTTGAGGTGAGAAGCCCTGAAAATAGCTTGAGTAGCCATAGATGAACAGATGGTCTACACAGGTGCACAGCGTGAAGAGCTGAGAATTAATCTGTTCTTCCACACAAATGCTATCTAACACGGTAACAGTCTCTATTATAAATGTGTGTGTGTGTATATCCATATAGACATACAAAAATACTAGAATATGTACTTGTAATAATTCCTTTAAAACAAATTCAAAACAAAAAACCCCAAATTCTACAGCCTAGCCTTCAAGAGCAACCATGTGACCTCACCTACTTTTTCACAATCTTACCCAAATGAACCATAAGTAGATGGAAGGCAGCCATTTTTCTTACTCATCTTTTGAGGTATCTTTCAGACATAGTAGAGCACACGTAATAATTACAAAAGCTCTTCCACAGATATTCTCCAAGTGATGAAAGAATGATGAGAATATAAATTTTTGAATTCTCCTGTTAATCTGAACTGATATAAAAGTCATTATTTCATATGTACCTATGAATATTATATAGAGACATATAGGACAGTGTAGATTTTTAAACATGGCAACCAATGAAAGGTTTAAATGGGAGAGTTCAGAGAAAGGCAGTCAGTGAAGTGAGCTATCCATTTACATTTCTATAAAGGCTCAGTCTAAAAAATACAGAAAATTATATGCAGGAAAGGAGAAAGGGACAAGAAAAAGAACAAACCTTTATTTCATCCACTGGTCAAACACTAAATTATTTCAATTATCAATCAGTCCTGAAACCATCCTACTTTAATTCTGCAGAGGTTTTAAAAATGTTGTCTCTATGCATGTTATGGAATTTTCCTTCTCACCTACTAAACTTGTACAGTTGATTTCACTTAGCTATAAAACAATGAAATTAAATAAGATACAAAATTTGGTCTCTCAAAGTCCTGTTTGTATTAGATTTTTTAGGATCCTGAAAACTGACTTTAGGAGTCCCCTAATATTGTTAAAGAGAATTCTAAGTGTTGAAAATGACCATGATAATGTTTACTTTCATCTTTGGGGGAAAAATGTTTCTAATTGGGCTGAATCAAGATTCCTGAAGGAAATTGTAAGGTAAGCCACTGATATTTTTAAAAAGCCGAAAGCAAAGTTTGAGGAATTTTTGTCTTCTGAAATGAACACAACAATCTCATTAGACATGGTATGACATTATCATGTCTTAAGGCTTTTGCCATCTCTACTACAACTCTAAAGTAAAATCCAAAATTAAGCAATAAAACCTGAAGCTATTTACTGAACATATTGTTGTGTTATAAATAAGAGTCCAAATCCTTCAGGGTAGTTATATTGCTAACTCTACTATCAAATTTATGGATGTTTTGCCTCTGTCTGAAAACTAAAATATTTAATATGTAAAAATTGAAGTAGATATTAACATATTTAAAATTTCTCTTATTAACTTACATTAAAATCCTAAGGACTTACATTAAATCCTAAGATATAAAACAACATACCTACATTTTAATTGTTTTTCTCAAGCTCATAAGTAAGTAAGAATTGGAGTAAGCTATCTGCATAAAAATTCAGGAACACTGATGGACACATTGAGGGCCTTATGTCATAACTGAAGAATTTAGAGGATGGTTTAAATCCACACACACCCCTCCAAAAGACTTCCTCTCCTATTTTTATATACTACCAAATATTTTCAACCAAATAACACAAGAACGTGCTTTCAAAAATACAAAGGGAGTATTATCATCCCATCATGAACCAACCTAAACATCTGAGTAATAACTTCTAAAATAAAAACTCAGAAAAGATGGTACATGGTTAAAACTATTAATATATATTTAAGACAAAGAGTTTATTTTTCAAAAAGAAAACAAGGAAAGAGAGCCCAACCTGATCTTGTATGCCTGCCCAATAGAACTTTCCACTATAATTAGTACTCTCTACCTCTCGGGGGGAGGAGCTTAAACTCAGGGGAACCTCATGAAGTAAGGGAGAAACAGTATAAATACTTCAGGACAGTTCTGGAGAAGGTACCTTCTGCACTCCTCACCTGTACACAGGAGGGCTCAGAAAAGCTGCCAAGAAACCATCTCCAGGAACTTCTGGCATCCAGGTAAGTCTATGACCTGATGCTCTGGTGGACTTCCATGTTAGCTTGTTTGGAAACGAGCCTCGATAAATTATTTGTTTTTTTCATTTAAAATAAGTGACTTTCCATTAAAGTGTACTCAGAAAGTTTAATCCTTGGTAGTCTCTATAAAAAGACAGTCCTAATAAAACCATATTTGTAAAAGTATGTCCTATTTAGTTTATTTTGAAATTACTGGATATTTCAACCTATGTTAAAGATCTTGAATTATTTTACAGTTTCTATATTTCTTCTTTAAAAATCACTTCGGTTTTACTTGATTACTTGAATGTGGTTTCCACTAACAACTTAAGTCATATATTCATATAACTAAAAATTTCTAATTCCGGTTTATGGAATATATTAAAAACAGATAGGATAAGGTAAAAAAGGTAGTTAACAAAAGAAAGAATTCATGTATCCAACATCAGACAAATAAAACAGGTCAATAACAAGAAGTTATTCTTTTCTGTTTTTCAGAAGCCATCTGAGAACATGCTGCCACAAACAGCCCTTTTGCTGCTAATGTCCTGGAACCTGGTTCATGGAGGATTTTATGCTGAGCAATACCAAACACCTACAGGCATAAAAGGCCCCCCACCCAACCCCAAGACACACTTCTTCATTCCCTATGCCATAAAGAGTAAAGGTAAACTTTATATATTTTGCTGTATTAACCAACTGGTTGTTGCTTTCTACAATCTTAATGATCTCTTGAACAAAACGCTTTTAACTCCACTTGGTGTTTAATTATCTTCAAACTCCCGCATTTGTCCAAAATATTAAAACAAAATGATTGATGGAAAAAAGCAGGTCTATTCAAGAACATTAATATCCTTTACACAGTGAGTAGAGTAGAAAGATGTATCCCAAGAATATTAAGAACTCTTAGGTGTGGAAAGTTTTTCCCTCAAATGGCGCTTCTGCACAAAAAACTAACCATAATGTAGAAATATGAATCCAAAACAAAGTAATCAAGTTTAAAAATGTCTTAACGAGAAATAACTGCCAATTATACAAAGAGAGTAGCAGGTTTGGGTATCTAAATACTTAACCATCATTTACTTGTACAACCAATTCGGCTAGCCCACCAATATATACAAAACTGAGTCTTAACTATCAGATGAAATCTAACGCTTTTCCACGAAATTTAATAGGCAAACAAGGCGGCAATTTTCTTAACTACTTAGACATTTTTGTAGGGGTTAGTAGTCAAGTACACAGACTTAACGGCCATGTACTAACTGTGGGGCCTCAAGTAAGCTACTTACCCTCTCTGTGCCTTAATTTCCTCATTTGGAAAAGCAGCAGCAGTGATCTCAAAGAGCTGTTAGGAAGGTTGAGTTACCCTCTGTAAAGTACTCGAGTATTAGCTGTATTACTGGTACTTCACCTCCTCACGCTGTGGTAGTACTGGGGGGGGAGGGGTAGCTTTAGATATATTTTAGCTTTGTTCCTGAATCTCTTCCCCAGCTGTTCAGCTTTCTCAGATATTACGAAGAGAAGTGAGAAAATGCATGCACACTACTAACAGATTCTCAAAGAAGGGCAATTATTAGGCTTCACATTCACTAATTCCATGGAATGACATCCAGCACGCACTGCCTGAAAAACATCTACTGAATTAAACTGCATCATCTGAACTGATTGTAGGATTCAAATTTCCTTTCCTTAGTATTTTTTCATTATAGTTACCTATTTTACCTTGCAAATAATGCTAAGGATATTTGCTGTAAACTCTACAAATGATGTTTTTAGAGATGACCATTTTCAGCAAATTAAACTTACAGGATAGTCTTCTTAAAAAGAAAGATGAAATTTAAAACATTTCACGAAAGGAAGTTTAATGTTTAAAAATAAATGCACAGGTGCCTCACAAAAACTCTTGAATGTCTCAAAATACGGATACAATATGAGAAAGAGAAAAGTTATGAAAGAAAGGAAAAAAGGCAAGGAAACCTGCTACTTCCCTTGAAGCAATGAATGGCAAGGTGAAATGCTAGGACATGTATCACTGGGTATAGCCTCTATGATCACAAATTCAGACTTTTTATAGTTTACCATACAGCCTTGATTTTAAAATCAAATGCACCACTTAGGGAAGGTTAAAAATATTTCTATTTTCCCACCTTACTGTACTGCATCACCTTGGCTATTTCTGCAAAATAAATGAAAATATATATCTTACTAACAAATGAAAAACTCAGAAGCTGCATTTTAACTGTTAAATCCACTACAGTCTCTACTTGATAATACAAGGTGGAAACTCAAGTACATTATCATTCACTGGCAGGCACTAATGCACCAAAAGACAGACAAAAGCCCACAGTCTATACACGTATAACATTAGGTTGATAACAGAAATACAAAGAGTGCCTATGTAATTCCTGGGCCCATCTGTCCAACACAGGCTCAAAGAGGGCTCAGCCAAAACACACCAAATTATGCCGCAAAGGAATGCAGAGCTGGTGGCCCCATGGGTGCCATATTCTGACATGACCAACCACTATTTTGGTTTCTGGACTTTCAGAAACTTTTCTGCTGGGCAATCATTTTTCCTTGAGGATGGTATCACCCTAATCTTTCAGTTTTTTCTAATTGGCAAGCAACAAACAGGGGCTATGCCCCAAAGACATAACAGAACTCACATTCTTTCTTACATCAAGAGGTAGAGGACCTATGAGGGCAACATTCCAAGTGACGGAGATCACCCTTGTCCTTGGACTTCCACTCTCAAATGGTGCTCTATGGAGTCATTTTCTTTTCTTTCTTAAAAGATTTCATTTATTTATTTTAGAGAGAGAAAGAAAGAGTGTTTGTTGTTGCGGGGGGGGGGGAGACGGAAAGAATCCCAAGCCAACTCCGAGCTGAGCGCAGAGCAGAGCTCGATCTAACAAGCCTGAGATCACGGCCTGATGTCAGTCGGATGCTGAACTGACTAAGCCACCCAGGTACCCCCACTATGTAGTCATTTTCAGTAAGACTGTTTTTCCTCCCTATTCTAACAGTTAAACAGATTTCCAACCAGACTAAGATAGTCATTTTTAGTATGGATATGATCTTTAGGAGATTCAGGTAAGATTCTGAAGCAAACCCATTCAATCTAATATAGTTTGCATTTGAAAAAAAGTGCTATTTTCTATTTATTCGTCTATTCTATTTGTAATATATTACATCCCTTTATATTTATAGACATTATAATGTATGTACACTAAAAAGTCAATCTATCAATGATATGAGTATATGGAGATCTTTTCCATAAATTAATTTTTCTCATAGTCTTCTTCCTGATATCTGAAAATCCATGAGTGAATAAAGCTCCATACATTTAAATATTTGCAAAATGAAATATAACTCTAATTAGTACAAAATATAAATATCCAAGTCTAGAATAATGTTCCTATTTTAGCATATCTACTTTAATGATTCTACTGTGTATTTTATATTTCATTTGTCACCAAATGTATTTCAAATATCAGGAATACCCAAGAGAATAATATTAGCAACTATTTCTTGCATGCCAGTTAATAGGAAAGATTTTTTAAAATATCATAATGTACCTGCAATTGATAGTGAATGTGAACCATACCCGTAAGCATATGTTTTCAAAGGCAATTTACAATTCATTTAATATTAATTCCAATTTACTCTTCATTCTGATTTCTAAAGCCATTAAAGATTTAGGTAAAGTTTAAGTATATTAAGTAGTCACTTTTGTACAAAAAAGATGTGGCTCAAAAGTCACAGCCATAAGTCATTCTCAGGGTTTTGACCAAACCATTCAGTAACTACGCCACTTGCTAAATCTACCATAACTACGAACCATTGTCCAGCAGCAAAAGAGTCTAAATAGTATACGCAGGCATTCCAGCTATCTTCCTAAAGATTAATTAAACACAAAATGATTTTAAAACAAATCTTGCAAATAGACATTTAAATCATACCTAATTATTACCATTTTTGCCAGCTATTGAAGAATTTCTCTGAGAAAGAAAAGAATCTTTTATTTTTTAAAGATTTTATTTATTTATTTATTTGACAGAGAAAGACAGCAAGAGAGGGAACACAAGCAGGGGGAGTGGGAGAGGGAGAAGCAGGCTTCCCACTGAGCAGGGAGCCCGATGTGGGGCTCGATCCCAGGACCCTGGGATCATGACCTGAGCCGAAGGCAGACGCTTAATGATTGAGCCACCCAGGGGCCCTGAAAAGAGTATTTTATAATAGATGCTTATGATGATTGCTGCCTAAAGATTCTCTGATATGGTAATATTTCCCCAGTTATATATCCTAATACCAGAATGCTCTGTTAAATCCCACCTTTGTATGACTAAAACCAAAACCCTGGACACCTCTTATCACAGGGACATTTGTTTTACTCCCTTCATGACTGAAGCTCTTATAAGATGCATCCTGTGCTTCCCCACTCTTGTGGCCCAAGAGCCCTTTTCATGTCACGGGAGGTGAATAAACAATTTCTGAACTGAATTCATAATATCAGTAGAAGTATTTGGTTCAAATGGACCCACAGCTCTGTGAAATCAACACTAACTGTGCGCATTAATCAAAGAAAACTTTAGATAAACATTTTGACACTATTTTATACACCCTGCCCACTGGATCTAATTCTCTAATTCTCTGTTTCAATGTTAAGTCAATGAAAGGAGGGTGTAGGAGCTCATGGTATGTACTGAGGGTGAAAAAAATACATCTAAACTGTGTTCAGCAGGCTATGACAGATTTTCTCACTGATGTCTGATAGGATAGCTTTTGTGAGAGAAAGCAGTTACAGTTCTTAAGTATTTTCCCATTTATTCTGCATTTGTCTTTTTCTTCCTTTCTATCAAATACCTTTTTCCCCCTTTCCTCTCGAGGTAGATGATATTCCCAAAAGAAATGGGGTAAATACCTCCACCGTACTCTTACTCTAGACAAATTCTTCAACCCCAGTTTATTTTCATAGATAATTAGGATGTACTGAAAGTATTATGGTAGCCATGGTCCATCCTCTCTGGCAGTGTTTTTAAATACAGTATAAAATGTATTGTCGAAACCATTAAAGACTAGTCTGCCAAAATGGACTGACTGACAGTGCAATATCGTTACTAATCAGCTCTCTCTCTGGGTGTGTGTATCGGGTATGTTTTTTAGGTCTGTCAGTAAGAGGAGAGCAAGGTATTCCTGGTCCACCAGGCCCCGCTGGACCTCGAGGGCACCCAGGTCCATCTGGACCTGCAGGAAAACCAGGCCATGGAAGTCCCGGACCCCAAGGAGAGCCAGGGTTGCCTGGACCACCGGGACCATCAGCCACTGGGAACCCGGGTCCACCAGGACTCCCAGGAAAACCAGGGGAGAAAGGCCCATCTGGACCAAAAGGAGCTGTTGGGCCAGCTGGTTTACCAGGACCCCGGGGCCCAGCAGGGCCACCCGGAATCCCCGGCCCAGCCGGAATTACTGTTGTGGGAAAGCCCGGACAACAAGGGCCTACAGGAGCTCCAGGACCCAGGGGCTTTCCTGGAGAGAAGGGTGCACCGGGAGTACCTGGTGTGCATGGACCGAAAGGCGAAGCAGGGTATGGTGCTCCTGGACACCCAGGTGAGAGGGGGCTTCCCGGCCCTCAGGGTCCCATGGGACCACCTGGCCCGCCTGGAGTGGGAAAAAGAGGTGAAAATGGGTTTCCGGGACAGCCAGGCATCAAAGGCGATCGGGGCTTTCCAGGAGAGAGGGGACCAGCTGGCCTGCCAGGCCCCCAAGGTCCTCCTGGGGAACGAGGACCAGAAGGCCTTGGAAAGCCGGGGGCCACGGGAGCCCCAGGCCAGCCAGGGACTCCTGGGACCAAAGGTCACCCCGGGGCTCCAGGAAGAGCTGGGCCCCCGGGGGCTCCTGGCTTTGGGGAAGCGGGGCTGCCTGGCCTGAGAGGGCAAAGAGGGCCTGCTGGCCTTCCAGGAAGTCCAGGTGCTAAAGGGGAGCAAGGCCCAGCAGGTCATCCCGGGGAACCAGGTCTGACCGGATCCCCCGGAACTATGGGGCCCCAAGGACCAAAGGGCGTGGCAGGCAGCCCAGGGGTTCCAGGCCCCAAAGGCGAGACAGGGCCAGTGGGGCCTGCAGGACACCCTGGGGCCAAGGGAGAAAGGGGTTCGCCTGGGTCAGAGGGAAAACCAGGGTACCCAGGAGAACCAGGCAGCAGTGGTCCTAAGGGAGACCCAGGGTCACCAGGCCCCAAAGGGGACGCTGGAGCTCGAGGACCTCCTGGTCTCCCAGGCCCCGTGGGCCCAGCGGGAGCAAAGGGAATGCCTGCACACAGTGGTGAGACCGGTCCCAGAGGTGCCCCCGGAGCGCCAGGAACCAGAGGCCCCACTGGGCCACCGGGCGCTCCGGGATCCCCGGGAGCTAGGGGGGACCCAGGAACCCCAGGTCCTCCTGGCCCAGCGGGCGCAGCAATGAAGGGGCCCAACGGTCCCATGGGGCCACCAGGGCCTCCGGGTCCGAGAGGCCACACTGGAGAGCCCGGCCCCCCCGGCCCCCCCGGCCCCCCAGGCCAAGCAGCCCTGTCTGAGGGCTTTATAAAAGCAGGCCAGAGGCCTTTTGTTAGTGCCAACCAGGGAGTCACAGGAATGCCTATGTCTGCTTTCACTGTTATTCTCTCCAAAGCGTACCCAGCTGTAGGCATTCCCATCCCATTTGATAAGATTTTGTATAACAGGCAACAGCACTATGACCCAAGAACTGGAATCTTTACCTGCAGGATACCAGGGACGTACTATTTCTCCTACCACGTGCATGTGAAAGGGACCCATGTTTGGGTGGGCCTGTATAAGAATGGCACCCCTGTAATGTACACCTATGACGAATACACCAAAGGCTACCTGGATCAGGCCTCGGGGAGTGCCGCACTCGATCTCATGGAGAACGACCAGGTGTGGCTCCAGCTGCCCAATGCTGGATCGAACGGGCTGTACTCCTCTGAGTACGTCCACTCCTCTTTCTCAGGGTTCTTGGTGGCACCAGTGTGAGCATATTCCCAACGAGCTAACGTAAGGCTGCTTGAAAAGGCATTCCCCAACTCCACTGCGCCCCACAAAGTGCATATGGAGGTAGGCCAAAAAAACGTGACTAATTTTAATTTTCCACATACGGATTTGAGCTTTCAGACCAGCCAGTTCTCCCCCCGCGAAAAAGTGAGCAGCAATGGTAAACAACAGGTGAAGACTCTCTTCAATTTCTACTCAGCAGTCCTAAGGCTCTTTAAAGTTTTCTGTGAACTCCTTCAGTATTTAAAAATTTCACCCTGAAAGTCCTAGTGGGCTAAAAAAATAGAATGAGCACAAAGAAACCCTGAAATGTGACATTAAATTACGTGAAATTTGCTTTCAGAAATTCAGCATTTAAAAAAAATAAAGCCTCTTTCTACTGATTAACAGGAGAACTTCTGGGAAACATTCAGAGGGTATCATGTCTGTCTAGAACTCAAATACTTGAATATTCAAATTTAAAAGGCACCGTATACCCTAAGGTCTTTCTCATGGTGCATTACTTGAAGGCTTACATGGCCCCTTCGTCAACATCTATTCAAATGTACAGGTGCACGTAAACTTCTTACAGCTCTAATAAAAAACCAAAGGATGATGTTAAAATCTGAAATGCAAGGTGCTTTAGCCATGAACTTTTTCAAACTTTTCTGTGATTGCAGAAAAGCTTTCTATATACCCTTCACAACTGGGAAATGGGTGTCTAACCTAGTTTATTTATTTAATACAAGTGTAATTAATTTGACTTAATTCCATATTGAGTCTTACAGATTATGATTTTGTGGGTTTACAGATTATTGCCATATGGACCTTGAGCCTCCCACTCTAGTGAAATTATAGCTAATGTCAAGGGTTTCAAAATCTGGCTAGAAATGAAAAGATGTTATTTATTTATGCTCTGTACTGTATTTTTATATTGCTGCTTAAAACTTTTAGGCTGTGCCTCACTTATTAAAGCATGACATGTTTTACCTACTCCTTATTTACAAAGCAATAAAATAACATCAACAGATTTTTATGCTGAATTTATTTGAGAGCAGCAATTGCTATTCTCAACCATTCTTTTAAGGGTTTTCACTTTACAAAGTTTATAAAAGAAAAACAATAAAGTGGTGGGTGGCTCTTACAGTTGTCATGGATACTGCCCTCTACTGGGGATGGTCATTCACACACGCCCCCCAGCACTCCGTGTGGACTATGAAAAGGCAACCACAGGACCACATGGGACCTATCAGCCAGGTTTGAGGGCCAGTGACCAGGCACAGAAAAGTGAGACAATCTCCCCAAAGCAGTGATTTCTTCAGGGAAGGCAATAAGCAGGTGGCAGAGAAATATGTAATTTTTTAAAAACTATTCTGCAGGTACTATTTATTGCCTTGACATGTTTTTAGTTACAATACTCAGGATTATTTTGATGACTTAAATTACGTTAAAAGGAAGGCAGGCAATTTTATGTCAATCAAAAAGAAACCCTTTTCTAAGCTGAGAAACACTGCTCTTGAGCATCTATCAGTCCACTAGGTGACTCAGGACAGTCTGGTTCGAGTCCCCAAGGTAACCTATGATAAAGCATCCCTGTATTCCTTAGAAGTAACCTCTGAGTAACCTTACCAAGCAAATCTGAGATGCAACTGTGAGGCCCCACGGGCAACCTGACCCATTCTGAGTCAACCAGTCCTGTTTTTAAGCAAGAAGAATGGAATTCAAAAGAACCTCTTAAAATAGAGGCAGTACCAATTCTGTAGCAAAATTTTAGATAAAAATCAAGTCCTAATTGAGGAACATTAATAAGATAGGTAACTTCAAAGTAATTTACAAGCCGCACAGCATTTAAAAACAATTAGAAGGTCTCCCTTCACATTACTCACCCTTAAAAGCTGACATTTTATAATTGTGTTGTATACCAGCAACTATATCCTTCCAAAAATCAAATGTTTTTTGACCGTTGTTCTGCTAAGAAAAAAAGAAAAAAAAAATCCCAAATGTTAACCCATGTAATAATGATGTTTTTAAGCACAGTAAAAAAAAAGCAAGCAATACAATATTGCCGTAATCTAAAATCGGGACTCATATTTAGAAAAGATAACCGATGAAAAAACTCATTCTCTAAATGGGACTTTAAGAAGAAAAATCTTCCAAGAAAATCACTGCTACAGATACATATATACACACATACAACTAAATATTAATATAGCTCAAGTAGCCCAAATAAAATAGAAATTTCTACTTAGTGTGAAGTCTAAAAATTATGTATTTTAAACACAGGAGTAAATTTACAGTGTTATAGCTTTTGAGATATCAGAATGTGCCACTTCATGTACTGTGGCATCAATGGGATTAGGAAGCCTCAAGTCCTAAAGTCCTAAAAGCCGGTTACTTTAGAATTCAGTGCACATTTACCTGATTTCAATAAAAAAGAGCAGCAAATCTCTATAGGAGAGATGAAGGAGGTTCCAAATCCAAAACATAAACCACTTTTAGATTTTTTAAAACCAGGATGCAAATAAACATTACATTGAAACAGAGAAGGCTGCAAGGCCTTGCTTTCTTGGAAACATTATTAACCGGTGTCCTTCTATCTAAACAAACTACTAGACATTTGTATCTAATTAAACTCTGAAATATCTGAAGACTAATACATTTGCTTGAAGTCACTATGGACGAAAAACTGATTCCATCTCATGTAAGTAACGTCTACATAATAAAGTAATTGCTCAATGGAAACTCCCAAACACATGACTAATTCTGGCTCAAAAGTAAACCACTATCCATGTTCTATTAATAACATGATCGTTATGATTTTCAAAGACAACATATGCAAAACAGAAAAGTAATTCTGACATAAAACTGGTGTCTGTTCACAGATCGTAAGCCCTAAGTATATTAAATCTTCATCAGCAGTATAAATCTACACGCATCAAACTGCTCAAAAGGATGAATTTAAAAACTTCACCTGATTTTTTTGATTTTGTATTATTTAGAGTGCTTAAGGACAGGTGGAATTTTCTTAATTATCTTTAATTTTTCTTTTTTTAAATTCTGCTAATGAAACCAAAATATTTTTTCCAGCTGTGAAGTATTTTCTTTTTAGACATTTGCACCCCCTGCTGGGGAATAGGTTTAGTATCCCTGGGGGGAAAAATGGTCAGGGCTATTTAATTTTCCCAAAATATTTGACCAAATTCTCTATGTTTTTCTTCCTCAGTCACTTCCAAAACCACAAAGAGGAAACTGAGTAAAACTCAACTCAAAAGACATATATAATTAAGTCCTCCAATTTATGACTGAATACCTATCATAATTTCTGAAAAATGAGTCCCTGGCTCACCTTTGTTAGAGAGTCCACCACTCTGGCACATAGAAGCGCTCCTGGCAGGTCAAAGTAGTTATCATAAAAATAATATTTTCCTAAAAAAGAATAAAATTTTACACTGGGAACAAATTAACACCTCATTTGCGTGACACACAGAAACTTGGCTGATGAGACATCAGACTTTGGGTTTGGTTATTTAGAGGGGCTTCTATTTCAACTCAGAATGGCTCTATTACACGCGTTCACTGTCTTTAAAGAAGGGTTAAGCTACAAGAAAGTTAAAAAATGATATCCCTAATTTAAGGATCTTACGAAAAAAAAATTATGTAAAAACTAGACTATACCCTAAATATAAAATGGATTATGAAAAAGCCACAATTTATGGTACCAATGTCACTGAATTTTAAGACCATCAGCCTAACACTGGAGCACCATGAGGTAATCTGCACAATAGTACCTTTTCATATCTGTGCTGGTTGGTCCACCTTTAGTTTAATGTGAGAAGAACCAGAGCGATGGAGGAATAATAATAATAAAAAAATCACATCATGTAAGGAAACATAGTGTACTTATCTGGGAGAAAACTCAGGAGCACAGCACAGGCACTCCAGGGTCTCAGGGAGGAGAGGGATTGAACTTATCCTGTTTGGCCCTAGGACACAATTAAACTTGAGCCCTTCTTTGGTGCAGATGTCACTTTTGGAATCTGCCGTCCCTGGGCAGACACTTGATGACCCATGTCACATCCCTTTGGCTCACGTCTGATCCCAGCCACTGCTGTGCTAAATGGCATCATCCCACCTCAAGCACACCTGTGTCATTCACTTTCCCCAGAAGACTGTGGAGTCCACGTGGCTTATGTGGTAAGCCTCAACCAGGAGCCAGTGGGTGAGTCTCCAGTTTAGGGGCCAGTGAAGGCTCCTGCCCCTTGGATTGACAACTCTGGGAGGTATTCTCAGTGCTTCTCAGAGATCCCAGTGGAATCCAGCCCCCATTGTTCCTTCCTTCTATGGCTCACTGTGTCCACTATCTCACTTCTGTATACCAGGATCAGGACCAACCACTCTGCTTTGGGGGGATCCCAAAGTCATAGAATCCCTAGAGAACCCTTGTACAAAGAGGAATCAAACAGAACCAAAGGTGAAGCCAGATTGTAGTTTAATGTGAGAAAGTACTTTTCGAATGGCCATAACTATTGCATACAGTATTATAGGTGCCTGATTTCAAGTCCTCCCTTCTTCCCATTTGCAAGCTAGGTATGAAGCTATGGAACACAGCAGTCTTGTTCCTTCGTGTCCACTAAGCACAATACCCAGCATATTGCAGGCACTCAACAAATGTTTGTTGAATGAATGAATGATCTAACAATGGAATGGATTTTTGGAATGAGGGAGTGCCGCAGGTAAATTAGGAGAAAACCCTTTGCAGGGGCCAGGTATCTATCCCTTTAAATGTCATTTAATGCCCGTCACTTCTTCATATCAAATTACTAAGAATGTGTAAGAAATAAAGTCAAAAGTTCTCCTGTTAATTCACAAAATGGCTGTGTGGGTTTACGTACCCTTTCCCTCAGTTAAAAATAGTTTGGTTGGCATCATCTTCCTGGTTTTTACTCTTACAGCTGAAATTATTGGCAGAACATCTTAGATTACTTTTCACCCCTCAGAAAGGTCAGGATGGCTTTGTTAGTGTGAGGAACCAGGCATCTGGAGGAAAAGGGAGGTTAACATCCCACGTGCACTGTTGCTCACACTCTGCTGTGCTATAAGGCCACGTGATGCTCCAGGGCTCCCAAGACTAGGGCAGTGGGCACAGCTTCCCAAGGTCCACGAACCTGCACTTGATCTACTCGCCTGTGACACCAGAGTGGCCAGCTGCTCTGGGCACCGTGGCAGCAGATCTGTAGTTGCTGCTGGTTACGCCCCCTTGCTTTTCCCTTCCCCTATTGCTCCCTTTGTGGCCATTAACACAAAATTCAGCTAAAGAGTTGGGATACTGATCACGAGTCTTGGGTGGGATCTAATCAAACAGCTCAGGGGTTTAATGAGACTCCCTCCCACAAGCCAAAGGGCTGACTCACTGGACTGTCAAATGTGGGCTGGAGGACTGCTGTGTGGACACACCGAGGCTTGCTCAGTCCTGACCTATGAACTGGGCCAGGCTGCTCTCAATGCCCCTTCCTCCACCAAAACTCCAAGACTGTACCCCATGAAAGCTTTGACTCTCGCCCCTCCTTGGAAGCAGAGAGCTTACTGGCAATGAAGGGATTAGTGAGTTCCGTTCAATAAAACAAGCCTCTAAGTCCAGACAAGTCCTATAATCCTTAACCTCTGCCCATTGAGAAACTGTTCCCCAAGAAGCCATTGCCAGCGCTACGTACTTTGTAAACTGCCTACTCGTACTGGTAACAGAACAGAGGCGTGTGAGTGACTGAGGGCAAAAGAACACTTTATGTTAGCACAATGTTCTCAATTGTGCAGATGAGTGATACCATCTTCACTTAAAGGTGAGCAAAGTGATGCTAAGAGTGGCTTAGTAATTGGCCAGATCACTTTGCCCAGCGAGGAACAGTCAATATGAGCCAGGATCACCTGTCTCCACCTGCCCCATGGTTTCTACTATACTAAGCTGTTTCTGCATAATCTACCAGTTTATGGGGAAAAAGATCAAAAGGACTTGCTCTCTGGAAAATGGCTGGTAATGAAAACCATATTCCTGCCAGTGCAACAACTGGCAAAGGGATTATCAAATAAACTGTCAGTAAAATGTCTCTGTCCATCAATGCTTTAAATTCCCTAAATGGACTGGTAGGGAATGCACTTTATAATTAATGCTCTCCTTAAATAAAGGCCCTTATTTGGCCATACTGATCAAAATTTTACTTTATTTTTTGGTGGGCAGCAAAGCAAAGTTTATTGAATCATAGTAAAGCAAAGTTCATTGAGTGATAGTATAAAGCTCCCAAAGATGGAGGGGACCCGAGAAGGTTGCCCTAAAATTTTTAAACCTATATATCCTTAGAGCGCTTCTAGGAATTTTACAAAAGTGCAAAATACACACGTATGAAAACATTACTGCAGGCTTGTTTGTAACGGTCAAACACCAGACACAATGTAAACGTGTACTAGGAACAGACTGATGGACGACGCTGGATGGCAGGGCACACCAGCATTTAAGAGAACGAGGTGCATCCGTATGTGTGCTAATGTGACAGGATCTCGAAGGCGTCAATTAAAAAGAGCACAGTGCAGGAAATGTATGATCCCTTTCGTGTACTTTTGAGAAATAAGCTTCAAGGAAAGGGGATTCTGGGGGGCAACAGGAGTTGGAGATAATTAACTCTTCATTTTATTCTTTTCTATAATATTTAAATTTTCTAACCCTATGCTCACATTATTTTTTTTAACGTAAACAAAGTTTAACTGGGTTGTGGAATCACAGGCCACTTTTTTCTTCTTTTATATGTCTCTACATTAAAAAAATAGTATTCCTTTTTGAAGACATCAAGCTTTCCCTTATGATCTGGGAGAAACAATAGTAGGCCTTTGTTATGTGTCACCACCACCTGACCACTGAACACATAAATGGGAAACACTTCCCTAACCAACCCAATTAAGAGGAGATAAATTCCAAGCTCATCCTCAGAGTGCTCCTGGGTAAACTGAGCGCCAGAGGGAAGCTGCTGATTCCAGAAGGTGGCGCTCTCTAGTGGGCAGAGCAGTGAGCAAACTGTGGGTCATCCTGGGTGAATGCTCTTTTCCCAGCTGAGAAATACTTTACTTCTTTAAAGTACTCTCTGTTTCTGAATGGATGTCAGAGTGAAACACTTAGCTCCATGCCTGGCCTTTCTGGGAAAGTTATCTACAACTGCCTGCTTCTGGAGAGCAAATAGCTGTTCTCCGTTTTTAGCTGAGTCAAAGGCTACATAGACGCCCATTTAACTTCCACCAGCCACTGGGACTTGAGATGTGTGAAAGCATTCCATCTCGATCCCCAATTTGAAATCTGTTTTCCTCTCAACTTATTTTACCAAGAGCACTCATTTCCTGACATTTTCATGTCAGGAAAAAAACAAAACAAACTCTCAAAAGACAGTGAACGTACCACAGCAAATCTAGTTGTAACAAGGAATAACTCCAACTATTTTCAGGTTACTACATTTTTTTCTTTTTTTAGGATTTTATTTTAAGTAAATTTTACCCTCAACGTGGGGCTTGAACTCACAACCCCAAGATCAAGAGTCGCACGCTCCACTGACCGAGCCAGCCAGGTGCCCCTCAGTTTACTACATTTTCTGAAGGAGAACAGTGCATTTCAAAAGTGAAGTGTGGGACAAGATGGCACAAAAGTTTAGAACAAATGAAAAACTAACAATTATAATAAGATCTATTTGTTTATAACAATGTCTTAATCATACCTTATTAATTTATGCACATCAATGTCTACAAATCATTTCTGAGAAAAATTTCTTTAAAGACAGTGGGGGAAAATGTGTGAAATTATTTAAAATAAGGGAAAAGAAAAGATAAAGGCAGAAGACAGAAGATACTAGAGCTGGCAGTAAAGAAGAGAATTCAAGAAAACAAGAAAGGGGAGGTAGTATGATTGTGAGGAGAAATGGGTAATGGAGAAATTAAAGCAAGGACTGAGCATGTAATAAACTGATAAAAAAATACAGACGACTGAGGAATGTATTATTCCTAGGTGCTAGTCTTTGCGCTCTAGAACAAGTGGAAGTAAAAGGAGAATCAACAAAACCTAAAATAAAGCAGAATCAACTGCCAAAGAGACAGGAGACACGTGTGGAAAACACACCCTATTCCTATCAAACCACAGCTGCTCCCTTGTGCATCCGGGCCAAGAGGAGGCAAGGTGGCATGCTTCCTGTCCTCATGCTGCAGGTCCAAAGTCCAGAACCCAAGGGGTGGCCGTGGTGGTGCTGCCCCGCACAAGCCATACCTGATCGGCAAGCCATTCCCGCGTCAGACATGAAGTGCTTCCACTCCTTCCTGCCATACTCCTCCGCCAGTGCCTCGGGAGCCATCATCTTTGTGCCATGGCTTGCCCTGGTTTGGGGAGACAGGGTACAATGCTCATCAATGCCCCCTCTGAATACCCCTTCCTCTGGCCTTGCTATGCGTGGTCCCCCCTAAAATGAACCCAGTTTTCTTTTTTCCGTTTTCAACTGGATGATTTCCCCCTTTAGGGCTCTCTAAAGCATGTCTCTAAGTTCTTCGTCCGTTTCATCCACCAACCAACAAGTAAGTGATCAGGAGCAACGCACTCTGAGGTCCACCCCATGCTAGCTGCTCTGGACCTATAATATCTAAACTATTTCTCCGGAAGAAAATTCTTTCCTGAGAAGTTGTCGTTTGAAGATAAAGGTAATCTAACTGGAATGTGCATAGACTGGGTGGCAGCCACAGAGAGAACGGACGGGAAAAGGAGGGGGGAAAGCAACGGGCGGAGAACAAATGGAAAAATCAAAATGGGCTCCTTTCTATAAAGGGGACAATGCAAAGAAACATAGGCACAGGATCTGTCATCTGATTAATAAAAATAATAATTTTATTTAACCCAGACCTTAACAATCAAATGCTATATAAAGTGTCCTGGAAAAAAAGTTTTGACTTCACAACTAAATTTTATTACCTGAGCACAGTGCCATTATCTGCAAGTTTAATGAAGTTCCCATCTTCTAGATCCAATGCCAAGCCCTTGCAACTAAAATAGAAAAGTCTGATTACCAATCAATTCACAGATTCAGCTAACCTAAGAATAATAATCTATATTTTCAAAAAGTCACAATGCTAAAAAGGGATTCTCCCACCCACACGAACGATATGTTAGTCAAAAAAATAAGAATATCCAAGAATCCTAAAATTAAGTAGCATCCACAAGTACAAGTATGTAAGGAAAATCGTCACGTGGGAAACTGAAAGACAGCATATTTAGGTTGTAAAATCCTTATGCTTTTAAAAAAGAGGAATCTAAAACGTAAACAAAAAAAAAAGGAACATCATTGTATGTCTCTGTTAAAATGTGCAAATGTTTTCCATTAAATAAAATACACATGCATGCCCACATTTATATTCCGCCAGATAAGCTTGTAGCCAGGTTCTCTCCTATACTCTTCAGACACTGCCTCCATTTAGGTCAGGTTATAAAAACTTGCCCTCTGGGCAGGGCATATTATTGAAAACCACTAAAAAAAAGTCAAATACTAAGTTTTAGGTTCCTCGCTGTAAAAGATGTGGGATTTGGGGAGAAAAGTGGGTACAGATTCATTATTATGAATAATAAAAGCAAGGAGGTATCATGGCCACCAAATACCAAGAGAATTAAACAAAAAATGACAGGGTACTTTAGAAGCATTATTGACTCTGGTTCACAGTAAAATTTCTAGAGTCAGCAGTTTTATATAGCAAAATATTTCTGTTTCTTCTTTTTACAAAAGGGATACATCAATAAGGACTAACCAAACATTGCAGAAATATATAACAGATGAACATCATTGCTCTAGAATTAATTCTGCATGTGTTTCTGTGTGTTGTAGGATTATTATTAATTTTCCACTGAGCAATGTTAAAGTACAAAATTTTAATTTTGTTGTTTAGATGAGGAAGAGGGACAAAATAAGCCTTGGGAAGTGGAAAAACCTAACCCAGGAAAGGAGTAAGCAGTAAGAGTCTTAGACATAGGAATGTCTATTCAAATTATAGAAAACCAAATGTCCCAGTTCAGACATTTATTCAAAACATGATGATTCTTCCGCTTCTACGGTCCTGTATTTGAAAGGCAATAAAACAAATTTTTTTTTACAAAAGATGTAAATTTTAGAGACAGTTCTTAATAACCTCCGAAACCTACGACAAACTTCAGCCATACACAAATATCCAAATTAGTCAATAAGTTTTAGCTTATTTATATATTTAAACAAGTCTAAATTTAAAGTAGAAAAGGCTTTAATTTATGAAACATAAAACTTTTAATATAGAAAACATTTTGTCCTTTGACTCAGTTTCACATTTCACTTTATGTCTCCATAGAAGAGGAAGCATTAAAATTTTATCAGCAACATTTAAGAATCAGAGGGAATGGGAAGACCTTAAAAAAAAAGAACTTACCAGAAATCCCAATCCTCTGGAGTCACAGTTAGCAATTCCTTGTCATACCCTTTCTCCTTGACCAGGAACTGAGCAAAGCTATTATAAATGAGCTATAAACAACAAGAAGGAATAAAGAAAGATTAAATATAAAATTCACTATTCATTCCTAATTTCAGACCTGAAAACCTACTGGAGTTACTCATGGGGCAGATGGGAGAGAAAGATCTCTAATTGTGAAGTTCTGCAGTTTAATCCTTTTTTTTTTAAGATTTTATTTATTTATTTGACAGTGAGAGAGGGAACACAAGCAGGGGGAGTGGGAGAGGGAGAAGCAGGCTTCCCGCCGAGCATTCCCGCCGAGCAGGGAGCCTGATGAGCAGCTAGATCTCAGAACCCCGAGATCATGACCTGAGCCAAAGGCAGACGCTTAACGACTGAGCCACCCAGGCGCCCCAATCCCCCTTTAATGCAAGTGATTTATCCACCCCTGAGAGCCCCAGGTAGCTACTGTGTCTTTTTATACTGCAGAATTAGACCACCAGTATACAATTACATAACCAAGGATGACTATCAATCTTACTCCTGAATTCTAAGGGTTGGAGATCATTAAGACCTAACAAAGCTTTGTAAACTTACTTAACACATCACCACGATGATAAACATATCGACCACTCTATCATTACATCTATCCTTAGCCCATCCTTAGTGGACCATGCTTGTGAGGCACTGTTCCTCCCCAGTTCATAGATTATTTTCCCCTGAATAAAGGACATCAAACCTGTCACTAAGTTGTTTTAGTTTTGTCATTGACACAGGGTAGTCTCAAAGGGAAATACACATAGGGACCATGCAGATGACCTGAAGGAGGAATCAAGGAGCTTCTATTAGATACAGGAAATATCTTATTTCTCTGCCATAAGAAAAACTGAGGGAAAAGGACGAAGGAAGCTTCTGAAAATAAGTACAAAGATAAATGGATCTTCTGATTTCTCAATGACAAAATCCCAAGTGTTTGAGTGATGTGTCTGATTTTTTCTAAAGAGTTGGCTCAAATTTTTAGAGAACTGTGTATCCCAAGCAGAAAGGAGGCAAAAGGTGGATAAAGGTCCACACTCTCCCTACCCCATTCTCCTTCAAAGAGTGTTATTAAGCCAGCATCAGAGGCACTTGAATCTGAGGCAGAATGCTGCTCCGGGGTCAGACTGAGCAGTATCCAAGAAGATCCTTGAGCAACTTGACCCTTCTTCTCTATGTTAACCCATAACCTCTTTGACAGCATGAGGTGGCACAAGGGAGAAGAAGAAAGAGACATAGCGAAAGGGATGGAAGAAGGCCTCCCTGAGATGATGATGTTTATTTACACTGACCCCTGCAAACTCTAGCAGTTAGCTGGGTGAATCCAGAGGAAGCGGAGCACGCCAAGCCCAGAAACCCAGAGGCCCACAGATGCCTGGATTTGGGGGTTGGGTGTAAGCATCAGGAGATGAGTGCAGAGAAACCAAAAGCTCCCTGTCAAATAGAGCTGTTCTCTGTCCTAAAGCTAATTAAAATCACTATACATATACTCCCGTGAAATGCAGTGTGACGCTGAAACATGTCAATTGTTAATAGCTCACATTATGTCAACACTGTATGTCAACACTTCTCAACCCTGGCGCTGGTTCAGAAACATGGTGACGGCTCTTAAAACCACCTGAAAATTTCAGGCCTACAGGCTAGGGTAGGATCCAGGTGAGGCCATACAGGATTCCTGAAGCCCAGAGATGACTGAAAATCATTGGCTTTCCATGTTCTACGGCTTTTCATTCAATCATAAAAAAAAAAAAAAATCAATAAGAAATGTACTGAGTCACTCCAAGGTCTGGAATACTATGGGCAATAAAAAATACACATCACGATCCTGCCTTGCAGGGAACCAGTGCTGTGGGATTAACAGATATAAAGTGCTTTACAGCAGTGCCTGACATAGAAGTAAATTCAATTTAAGTATTTGCTGTTTATTATCAGTGTTATGCTGGTTAAAAAAAAAAAAAAAGGCCCTGATAAGTACCATGTGCCCATTTCCACGGTATAAATATTCCCACCATGGCCACTTTCAAGCTACCAATGGTCACTGCATACCATTAAACTCGCCTCTGGTCAAGGCACTTTATTCAGTCTTGGACTTTCTCACCCTTTAACAGTCCTGATAAAGATATGGGCACGTGATTCCAATGAGGTTGGATACTTCCTAGTATATGCCAAGCACGCAGCTCAGCACACCTTTCTCTCCTGAGAGAAAGGAGCCCTTTACAGCAGGGCTGCCAACGGGGTGTCCACAGCTGTGTTCCTTACCTCATGGAGGAGAAGTTTCTGTAATAGGAGAAAATGAGGTCAGTGTGCCGGGAGAACCAGAGAATAGTGGTGCTGAGAAAAATAAGGGAGTCTGTGCCTTTGAAACCTGTTCTCGTCCCAAGGCCTTGGTTCTTGGATCTTTTTCTATTTTGTTGAGTCACCCCAGAAACCTGGATGGCGCAGGGCCTCCACGGACAGCCCCCTTCCTCTCCCAGCCTTTGGGGCCACTGACTTGCTCACAGTCTTACGTGACTAATAATGCACACTGCACATCAGCTGCACATTCATGTCCTGTAAGTTGTATGCAGACCACAAATGATGTTTGGTTCCCCCTACAGGTTGCCAGATAAAATACGAAATACCTAGCTAAATTCGATTTTCAGATAAACAATGAATTTTTTAGTATAAGCACATCCCCTGCAGAACACACATCTAATAAAAATGTTTTTGTTATTTGAAATTCAAATTGAACTGGGTGCTCTGTATTTTTCTGTGCTAAATCTGTCACCCTATAATCCTGCTGTTTGAAAATGGGAGCTAACATTTAAAAATTGAGAGACTGCTCATACAAGGTCAGGTATCTTTCTTTCTTTCTTTCTCTCTCTCTCTTTTTTTTTTTTTACAAGTTCAGATCTCTAACTTATCTTAAAAGAATTAGATCTTTTAAGAGACTGAGCCCCTACTTCCTCATG